AAGTCTCAAGAAGTAACTAATAATGTAAATATAATGCAGTAAATTTTTCGATACACTTTGAAAACTCAGCAAAACAGAGAGTTAACGCATTTCACTCATCAAACAGCAAGTCTGAGCATTTATATACGTACGTACACATACATACAAACTAACAACTAATCCATAATCAAAACAATAATGTCGTCTAGTTGCCATGCATTTTCTGCACATTTCTATATGAAAAATTTTTACGCAAAAAAATTTATCAGACTGCAAAGCAAGCATAAAAATAATTTCCCTTCGTACTAATATATGTATTACTATATGCGCACGTCAAAATGCGCATAAATAAATTAAACAACACGTCAAAATACGCATAAATAAATTAAACAAACTCAGTACTAAAATGCATTTAGTAAAGAAAAAGCTACTTCCGGTATTGAGGATTTCTGTTTTCTCATTAAAAATTGGCTGCTATAATATGATATCTTTCACTATACTCTACACTCTACACTTGGAAATCATAAAATTTAGCTTAGATTTAATTACAAATTAAAATTTCAGTATTCCAGTCTCGATAAGCGATAGAAGATACACATATAATAATTACTTCCAAAACAAAATTAACTTTCTGAAATGTACTTCTCTATAATCATCAATACACACAATCAATACTTACTCTTTCCAACTACTTCGCGTCTTCAATTTTTTTACTTATGTGACAACCAAAAAGTTATCAGTTGTAAAAGCATCAAAAAATGCATTAATTCAGAATCTGATGTTATTCTTTTTTAGATTGTACATAGTTTTATAGTCATTTTCAATGTAGCACAGCTTTATTTTCCAGTATTAGTGGTTTTAGAAGAACAATAACCGGTTTTATTTCTATATTACATCTCTCAGTATGGAAGTAAAAGTTCAAGACTATTTCTTAATTTTAATTTTAGAAAGTGAAAGAAACATCATGTGTATTAAAATCATTAAATGATGAATTTATGCTGCAAATTAAAATTTCAGTTTATGATAGGATTTCGAGAATCCAGTCTAAGGTATTGAAATAAATTTAATAAGTCTAAAAATTTGACAGTCAAATTACAACTATAGAGTACTTGGAAGTATGAATTTTTGAACTCAAAAAAATTACATGTGAACATTTGACTTCAAATATAATAGCATTTGTTGTACTTAATTAAAGGAAAACAAAACCTCGATAAAGCAGGAGATGCTGGTGTTAATGGTCGACCATCAAGTGTTTCATCTGTAATATTCTGTAGATATCCTTCTGGTAAATTGGTTTGAGTACCACGCATTACATGAGTAGTGTCTTCATTTTTTTGCAGAGAGCCTGAAATTGAATTATTGCGATTTACTGAGCCCATTTTTTATGAATTTTTTTCTGCTTTCTAATTGAAAATGCAAAGCATTTTAGAACAGGATTTAAAAATTGTCTACAAATTTTGCAGCAAAATTTAGGCATTAAAATTATTGCTTTCAATGTCACTTACCGAAAAAAGCTCCGCACCGAGGTACAATATTCAAGTTATATGTTTTCTTGCCATAATTACCACGACTAAAAAATGGATGAAAAAAAACAATGAAAATTACTGAATACAAAATCATTGCTACGAAGGTATTTGATGTCATGCATATAAAACCGTATTTGAAAGTTGACTATTGAATTATGAGAGCTGAATCATTAAAAACAAAAGATATAAACTGTTAATTTCTGGAATGTTCATCAAAACTGATTTCACTACATTTAGTTAACATCAGTGATGATTCTATAAATATTAAAAATGTTAAATGAAAAACTAGTAGAAAATATACAATTTTTTAAATTATTAACGACTGAGTAAAAAAAACTATTAAGTAGGATCATATTTCGAAGACCAACCTATTCATAGATGATTCAAAAATTCCTTCTCTTGCCGATACTTTAATATGATCACTTTTCCAATCAGGATATGTGTAAACAAAGTTTGATGGATTTGCAAAGGATGGAGTTCTACCACTTGCTGTCGTAGAACAAATAACAACCTGATCTGGATCGCCTCGGAACCTCAACTGCTCAGTTTAGAATTTTTAACACTATTACATAATAAATCTTTTGGTATTTTTTATAAATTTTAATTTCATGGCAAAGAAATTCTGAAATAGACATAATTACCACGACTAAAAAACTGATGGTAAAAAACAATAAGAATTAATGAATACAAAATCATTGCTATAAAGTATTTGATGTCGTGCATATAAAAGGCAAGCTGAGTGAAAACAAATTAATCAGCTTTTGATTTCTTCTTAAGGCTTATCTGATTAAAGTAGAATAGCTTGATATATTACGTCAATTTCGCTCTTTTATAAATATTTACTTGTAAAATGAGTTATACACCGCTATAATGCGCATTGATTTTGTATGCATCTTTAATTTATCAGCAATCAAATTAGAAATTCGTAATTCTCATACTTTAATTCACTGCTGAAATTTATACGAAAATTTATACAATATTGGCGTGAAAAACGTACGTTTTAGGTGGCGGTGCTGTACCGGCTGCAGTATACGTCATGTTCGATCCACTGTATGGAGAATGCATCGCTGGTGAACTAGTGAAAGACTGCACATTCCCCATATAGCAGTGATTATGAGCTCGATCGCTTCCTGTAAAATGTATGAAAGCCTGATGAAATTCACTTGAATGAATAAAAATAAAGATTTTGCCGATTGTTGTTTTGTTTTTCTTCATGTAAGAAAGATATACTGGTAGCAGTTGCAATATGTTTTGTTTCTGAAAAAGGTCATGAACAAGCTGCAAAGCTCTGGAGAAGGAATATGATAGATCTAATTTGATAACCTTCATTATTGCTTTTGAATCCATGTATAGTGCTGTGAAAAGATTCGCCAGACAAATCCATTTCGTAGCTTAAATGAATCGATTAGGAGGAGTTTGATAAGAAAGTTCGCTAATTTTAAAATTAAGATTTAATAAATTATAAAGAAGTATTCACAAATATAGCATTTTGAAGAAGAAATTTGGGTTTTTAATCTTATTATCGCTACTCAATACAATGATGCTTTAGATTATGCCTTCAATTCAAAAATACATGCTTAAGAAGAAAAAAGAACTATTTATAGAAATATCCCCAGGCTAGCGGGAAAAAATTTTTAATTGCCAAAAACTCCATAAATAGTTAAACTACGTGTAAATATTATAATTCCCATAATCTTCAAGACAATATATAAATAAGAAGTTAGTCCACATAAACTGACCACTGTTGATTAGTAAAATTATTTAGCGTAGCATGTCGGGAACCATTACGACAATAACTTTGAGTTTGACCGAGCGGTAAGAGAGGAAGAGAAGGTGCTGGTCTTGTATAAAATCGTGAAGTTCCAGAATTCGGATACGGCAGTGCTGACTGTCTAGAATTATCATGCCAGCCTGGTCTTCCATAAGAAGTACGCAGTCCATAAGCTGGTCCATCAGTTGTCTTAAGTCTCAATCTTCTTGGAGTGTTTTCACAGTAATGATGTTCTTTTGCTACCAAAGAATCTTTGCATGAAATAATATCTGCTGAATTGTCATAATACGAGCACTGTGTGGATTGTGGTGGCATACTGCTAATAGTATCAGTGGATGGAAGTGAAAAACTGCGATGCGGAAGAGGTAAATTTTGAGCAGAAGGTACTGAATTTGCTATTATAGAAGTTGGTTGTGGTACCGTTGGCTGTACTAGCTCAGCAAGTGGTTTTGTCGTTGTTTGTCGCATGTATGGAGTAATATTTTTGAATATAAAAGTTTTCGATGTGTCACATGAAGCTAGTACTGGTTGAGGTATAACTGATGAAGTAACTTCTGCTGTAGTTACCAGATCGTCCCCTGACGACTCACTCCTCTGAGGTGTGCCTGTATAATTTTTATAAAAAATTAATTCTCAGCTGAAATTAGAACTTTTTCAATTAGTTACTGACGATTTTTTCATATTACTCTGCGTCACTTAACTTACGTATTACTTGGCTAAAATATCGTCAAAACTGGTTTAAAAATAAATAGTGAGCTCAAAAATTCAAATACAAGATTATCACAATATTTATGATGAGAAAATTTTCTATCAACTAGATGGAAACATTTTATTTAAATCAAAAAAACATTCTTCCTTGGAAATATTAGCTGAAACAAATTCAGTATCCAGGAACTCATTTAACTGCCAAAAAGCTATTAAAAAAAAAAAACTCTGGGAAACAAGAGAAATAAAACCTACGAGGAACAAATGCAGGTAAGTTTTCCATTTTGGCTGACAGAACATCGATAGCACAACAACTGTGATCACACGTTTCATCTGAACTATCTATGCGCAAAGAATGAGGTTGTGATGAGGATAACGGTCTCGGTGGAATCCCTCCTTCGTCCTAAAGAAAATACTAAAGCAATATAAAAACTTCTGTCTTCAAAGTATGACTTGCTTATAACTAACTGCATTACTTATATCTGTAAAAAAAATTCATTCCTATCAAACTTTTTTATGAAAATGAAATAAACGGCAGTCACGTTTAAAGTCGACAGAGAATATTTAATTTAAGGTTATAATAAGCACAAGACACGTAAATGCGAACCCCTGGTTTTGTGGCATGATTTGATCGATGACTTAGAGGGTGCATACAAAACGATGAGTACATTTTTGTGTCTATTCGCTCAACATTTCTGTAATATTGAAAGCTTAAATTTTGAAAGTGACAAAAAATTTTTACACTGAGATTATTACAAGTTTAAAATTTCCCGGAAAGATTTTTAATCAGTAAATACCTTGTTGAATTTGAATGCAACTGCATGAAATTCTCCTTTTCGTTATTTGGAATAACTGAAAGAAAATTGAATTATTTCAAAGCTAATCAAGACTTCACATAAAACAAATGAATAATAAAAAATATTACCTGTAAATTGTAAGCCGTTGGGATAATTCACTGAATTTGTAAAAATATGAATGCTAGGTGAAACTTGATTAACCACGTAACCTCGAAAAAATTCCTTAGATTTATTTCGTCCGTCAAACGCAACCTGAAATTTTTTTAAGAACTTTACATATTTTTTGATATTAAATTTAACGTAATTCTGAATACCAAATATTTGTTAAAATTGATTTTCATGTTAAATATATTCAAATTTAAAGCAATCAGCATTCTGTATAAAGTCATCCTTAGACAAATTCATTACTATAAAGTCCAAAGAAGGAACACAAATGGCAATACCATTTTGTGCAAAAGGTTTTACAAGAATGAAGTTCTGCTCTCCCAAAAACTTTTTTGGGGAAGAGAAAACCGATTATATCTCCTAGATTATAACTACAAATGACATCATTTGCTTTCTTTTTCGATCTTGAAACATACAAGAATTTGAATATAATATGATATAATATAATATAATACAAACCGATGATTTTTCCGGATTTTGATGTTCTTCAACGATGATTCTTTTCAACATTTCTTCTTAATATGTGAGTGAATATCTTGCTTATTATAAACTGATTTTGATGTGATTTTGTTCGGTATTTTTGTCGAAAGCGCAAATGGTAGTGCTCTTTCTTCGATTTTCTTGCGAGATTTGTGTTAGAGGCGCAAATAATTGTTAGTTCTTATCACTTTTATGTCAATTCAATTGCGCAAAAATTTTCTGAAACAGTTTGATCAATTTAGAATAACTTTTTTGATTAAATGTAGTTAAAAAAGTGAAGAAATAATAATATCACGAACTTTGTGACTTGAATTCAATAACTAAAGTAATTAAATTATTGCATCAGACAATAAAAATACTAAATGGAGCGAAATGCAAGCAAAAAGTCACTCATTATTGGTTACTTCTCGTGCAAAAATTTTCAAAATAAATGATAATTTATACTCAAAAACGAAATGTTAAACAATTATTATACGAAGTTTACTTGCCATCAGTAATGGCATCAAGAAAATGACACTATAGACAAACTTAACCTGTTCTTACTCACTCATAAATCGTTATAAGCAATTTGAATTTTATCAGTCTAGCAATCAGAAAGTATCAATAATTTGAATTTAAAAATAGGTTAAGTTAATTTAAAAATTCAAATGCATTAGGATTTGAATTTAAAATACCAAATGCTAATGCATAATGATTCCTTGTGAATACTGCACTAAAATTTAAGCTGGGATACTGCAAGGCATAAGTCTAGTATGAGTCAAAGTTCATTAGCAGAATCAGATTAACTCTGAATTAACATACTCTAAGCTTACATTACTTTATTTAACTTAAAATAATTATTTTGGTTTCTACAAGCTAACTAAATTACTCAAACTTAATGTTTTGACGCAGGAAAAATTTGAAAAGATTAAAAATTTTTAGCATTATTTAGCATTAAATAGCAAATTTACGCATATTTTTGAATTAAAATTAATTTTAAATCACTAAAAATGAGAGAGTAAAAAACGATTTAAGGCTAAAAAAATTGAATACTATTAATTTGCTGAATTTAAAAACTTTTAAAGCATTTTAAAACTTAACTTTTACTTTTATCTGAATGCAAGATCATGCATAAGTTAGTCAATAAGTGATTAAAAGTACTCGATCAATAAGTTTAAAATGTAAGGTGAGTATGATTTAAGCAAGGATATTGCAATAAGAGAATGTGATATATTCACTGCAGACAAACTGACTCCATCATGTTTATTTCATTCAAGCGTATCGGAAGCTCATTTACTGTTTACGCGCCAAGCGTCGATAAGAGAGTACATAAATGGTGAGACAGCCAGAGATTGAAATGAGACAGGACGAAATGCCGCCACTCAGTCTACGGCTGCACTCACACACTACGAAAATCAATTGTGCTGTGTTTTTTGTATTCCCAAACAACTCATATATAGAGTCCGTCATATGTATTGATTTAAATACAAAAATTCAAATTCAAAAACAGATTTGAAAAAATAATCAAACAAGTAAACATATTTATTTGCATTGTTTATTTATTTATTTATCATTCAAATAATGAGGCTTATTAATTTAATTTTAAAAACAAAAAATTATTTATCACATCGATACATGGACAGATAGATAGATAGGTAGATAAGTGGTCAGATAGTTCCAATTAGATAGGTAGATGGATAAGTGGACAAGTAGTTTTAATCAGATACAGGTAGGTGGTAAGTAGGTGAATAGGTGGCAGATGGATACTATTTGATGGCAAAATATAGCCGTGCTGATATTTGTATAATTTGCCGGCTTGAGCAGTTCCAATTACTTAAAATGCTGCCTTCTTAGTGTATTCATTGTTGCATATGCAAAGATGTATAATTTTTCTTCAAATTGCTACTGCTTGCTTGAGTCAAAGATATTCCACGTGACGCTGCGTAGGTATCTGCATGATACTGCAAACTGCACCATTTGAATCTATCTGCGTCACTTTCTTCTGCCAATATGTGACTACTGACCTGATAAACTTTGACATTAAAGTAATTTATTAATTATTTCTGCAAAGTTATACCAAAGCTTTAATCTTTCTAAGTAATTATTGGAATAAAACAAATCAAATTATTATCTACTGCTCATTACTAGAATTCAAAAACATTAAAGGTTAATTTTGTAGATACAAAACGCAGCTATAATTACTCTAGCAAGTTTGCAAAGTGATTAATTTCTTTAATTTTTTTTTGCAAAATTCAATGTGTTGAAGCAGATCAACGTTGTTTACGCTAAATCTGGTGCTTAATTACAAGAATCTATTCGGAAATTAGAATTTTATTGCAGAATATAAAGTACAAAGTGCTGGCTGATTGACTGACTGAAATATGTAAAACTTCTAGAAAAGGTTATGATTCAAAATTAATAGTTTGAGTAAATTCTACCTCGTCTAGATTTTTCAGAATCTGCAAACTATCATCCATTTCATGACCATCGCTGTCATCTTCATCATTATTATCATTACCATCATCACCATCATCACTATCATCCTTATCATCAGTATCGTCATCATCATCATTGTTATTGGTTGAAAACTCAGTTAAATTTAATATGTCAAAAGATGGAATCACATCATCTGTATTATTCATCCCAGGCGTATTCATTGCTAATGTACAAACTTTTTCTCCACTTGCTTGTGACCTAATAAAACAATGACTGAAGATTGGCGTTGACTAATTCGAACAAAAACTCATTACTTTCGATTAAAAGTAAAAACATAAGTTACCATTTTTGCTATCCAATGCATCGAAAATTATGAATTTGATCTTCATTGTTCCCGACGATTTCAAGTTTCACTTTCCGTCTTTTATAAAGACTTTATGTAGGTCATAGGTCATTTTATCAGGAATAAAAGTGCTTTAAAATTAACAGTGTACTGTAATTCCTTTATATAAAAATTAATTTAAAAAAATTTCCTGTAGTTGCAATAATATGATGCAAATACCCGCCTTTCCAAAATTAACATGACCTATCACCTACATAAATTACTGTCAATACCCTTGTTTTTTAAGATCGACTAATTGATTAATTAGACCACCAGGAATAATAAGTTTTATCCGATCAAATATTGTTGAGGTATATACTTAGCAATGTTATTACTAATCAAAGTGCCACAAAAAAGGTATATAGCCGGGTCAAAAGCACTAATAATTAAATGCAAAATCATTATAGCACTCAATTGCTCTTTGATAAAACTTGATAATTGCTTTCGCTCACCTTTTATCACAGTTATCACACTTTTCTGAAATTTCTTGTAAATCATAATATTTGCGCATTTCTTCTTCACTGTTGCTAAAATTTACGTGAGCCCGTGTTAATTTTGCGTCTCCTACGCAATATGCTTTATTCAAAAATTTGCATTCGTCGTTTCGATAATGCTGCATTTTTGTTACATCTCGTTGATTGTTATTGCTTGCTGTGTTTCGCGTTAAATGAAGCATCATAGTCTTCTGATTCTTTTCGATTGCATCAAGTCGTGAATGTATTTCTCGTAGAAACCATTTAACACTGTCATTTTCAATTGCCATATTATTCAATCGAACTTGCAAATTATCTGTTCTAAAATTTTATAGTTTGTTACAATCTCTTTGTGACTATATTAATTTATTTTCAAAACATAAAAAATAACTTTATTTTTACTTAATTATTATAATTTACTGAAAAAAAATGTGTTCCGGTAATTTTTGTAAAAAATTTTTCATATTTAATTTGCATAATAACTTTTCGAAACTTTAACGAGCCATATCATCTTAGAGCATTTTATCTGAAATGCCTAATTTTTATCAAAACATTGTGACAGGTCAAATTAAATGCATACTTTGTGGCAGTGATATTTAAATGTGAGCCATCTTGAAACTGTTGAGACAGATTTTGTTTTCTTGACAAATCATCCATACAGTCTTCCTCGAAATCGTGTAATGCACGTAACTCATCATCATTTAATCTAAGCTCTAAAATATTGTACTATGCTAATTTCATTTCATTTTCAATTCAAAATGCTGTAATATGCAAATTTTATTTTCAATTCAAAACATTGTAATATGAAAATTTTATTTTGAATTTAACGCATAAATAATAGTTGTAAACTCACTCATGGAGAAATCAAAAAATCCTCCACGTTTGCTAGCTCCTTGTCTTTTTTTATTACATTTACCACTGAGCTGAAAAAAATCAAAATTAAATTTGCTATTAAATTATGTGATAGTTGGCGCTAATAATTAAATCACATTATAGAGTTATTAATTATATATTAATGGCATTAATTAATTATGTATAATGAGAATGTCAAGTAACAAAATGTTATTACAAACTTTCGGGCATTCAATTTCTTTTAAATCCTAAATATTCAGAAAAAGAAATTATTACCTTCCACAAGTATTTGATCACAATAAATAAGTGTGAAATAGGGGTCAAAGGTGGTGGGAAAAACGGTGTATTTCCATATTCCATTACCTGTTCGTATCGTTGAAATAGCCATACGTGTTGTGCAATGGCATTCGTTTCATTGAAAATATTGCTGCAATCATTAAAGGATACTGCTTAGATTAAAAAAATAGCTATCTTAATTGCATTTCTTGAATATTATTTTATTAAATCAAATATATAGTGTAGTTTTTATTTCTTAATGGAAAAATTAAAATTGATAGCGCTTACTTGAAAATCGCAATTAGCATATTGATGAGAAGGATATTCGCAACCAAAAGAAAAATCGTCATCAAAATTGGTGGTATCCAGCTACCCGGAACACAGTTAATACCTAAGGCAGATTCATTAGTCATTAGTTACGACGTACGTCGAAATCTAACTAGTACTCATTTACTTACTACACAAAAAATCATAATATTAATAATTTTGCTTTAGGTCACAATTTCAAGACTCCATACTTTTATTAGCTCAAAAAGTAATTATAATTCAAAAACGAATTTGAATGAAAATGACCTATAAAATGCATATTTTATCTTTAAATTTGAGTTACTTCATACCTAAAGTAAGTATGAACCATTTTTTAGTTAAAATAATTTAAGAAATAAGTATTTCACTCAATTTGCATAACTTACCTTCATCACCACAAGTATCAATTTCCCCAGCATAAACTTCACCATAAAGCATAAAATAAGGCTTATAAAAAATATTTCTAATCAAAATCCACTGCCACTTTTCGTGGGGATAAGTAATTGCTTGACGTGAAATACCAAAAGGCATGAGAGTTACCAACAGTAATGCCAAAATGTACATCATGTTCACTATCTGTGATAATTCATGTAATCTTGGCTGAGCATAGATCAAGAACTGATATTAAATTCGAAAAAAAAGTATATCTGATCTTAAATTAACTTAGAAGTGCTAATAAATACTTCTAGAAAAAGCATAATAAAATTTCAGTTCAAAACTTTTAATTAATAAATAACACAAGTATTAACTTATCTATCATAGTTTGTTTTTGCAGTTAACTTAATTGCAAATTTGCATAATTGTTACAACAATAAATAATGCTTGCTTACCATTTTACAAGTCATTTGTATATACGGTCCAAGTCTAGGATGAACACCCATAAAGTCTAAAAGTTTAATATACCAAAATACAATATTACAAGATAAAATAACTCTTCCATAGGAGTGACGTGTTGAGGAATTACATCGAAAAGCAAAACCGATGAAAAAGGTTACTGTTGCTAGGAATGTTAAGTAATTCCAACAACGATTGAAGTAAACTTGTATTTTCTCGACAATCGAACTCGCTTTTTGCACTAGCAACTAAAATACAGCAGCTATTTGACTTTAATTAACATCTGTTCACGCAAAAAATTAACAACACAAAATAGCTTGAAAACAAACATAGCCATGCAAACTCACGTACTTCCATACGTATGCACACATATATATGCATCGCGTCATTAAATAATAAACACGTAAAACATGTCTTTTTTGAATTGAAACAAGAATTAATAACATATTGACATTTGTCAGTGAATTCAAATTAATTGATATTTTGTTGAATTAACCTTGCGAATGTGCTCCATAACGAAAGCAACGACATACGCCAGAAGAAACCATTCCACCTTAGTTGGTTCAGCAGGAAATTCAATCAATATCACGTAAGTGTAAATCGCAAGAAATATAGAATAGCTCACAAGCCAAATCCAAAAAGTAGTAATAGGTGCAGAATAGAAAATGTTAAATTTTGTAGCCCAGGATGTCTTACGTGCTAACTAAACGACATTTGTTAAATTTCTGTTTCATTTTCTCAGAATTTCAAGTAATTCAACTTGAATTATTCATGGAGATATTATCTTAAGTCTAATTATTATCATGATATTATCTTTATTACAATCAATCTCAGTAATATTTCAAGAAATATTTATTTATTCAATGAAAGCAATTTTTGTTGTCATCACAAAGCATAAAGATGTATTATTCAGAAAAACTTAATTATTAAAGATTGAGAAGAATTCTGCCTAGTAATTAAATATTATATTAGTACTGATTTCTAAAAGCTTAATTCCAATCAGCGATATTCAAAAAATTTAGTACTAATTTTTTATCACATATAATGGCAAATGTATTACTTCTCCGATGCCTTGCAAACTTGCAGCAATGGATTTTCGTTGTGTTTTGGATCCAAATTTAGTTCTGTAAGCTTCCTCAATTAGATTCGATGTCTCCAAAAGATTTGTCAAGCGTTGAGGAAATGCCGCTGTACTGCGTCTATTTTTTCTTCGCAATTTTAGATGCTGTAAATAATGCTAATTCAATTATTGAAAAAGCGAATCAGAAATTGAGGAAAAATATGCCAATAAAAAATATTTAAAATTATAAAAATAACATACTCCAGAAAGGTGCAATGAAGAGCAAACACTATTCTGGCTGCGATCATCATCTTTCTCCTGCAGATATCTAACTTTTTAATGCATGACTAAAATATAAAATTGAAAAAGATTTTATTAACATATTTTTAAATTAAAAGAATGCATTTTAAATAATAAAAGATAAAATAGAATAAGAATAGATATATTCTTACAACAGATTCAATTTCATTCATCACAAAGTGTTGACTTGGAAAGGTATTGTTGCAACGATTGGGTGATATACGTGCTTTCACATCTAATAATAAGATGCTCGGTGGAAAAGCTAATGCTAAAATTACTTTTAAGTTTGAAAAGCTGGAAGAAATAGTTGACAAGCTTGCAAAATATACCTTTTAATGCCAAGACCACCATGCCATAGGTCAGCTAACAAAATTTGACAACTGAAATTACTTTAATTTCAAATTTTGAAAATGCGCGAGCAGAATTTTTTAACTTTTCTTGAAATTTTTTATTGAAAAAATTTTTATTACAAATTTTTATAAAATATATTGCATTGCAATTGATATAAATTACTTATACGAAAGTATGACAATTTTTAGAAAACTTTCGTTTAAAAAAAATTAAAGCGAATATTTTTTAGAAAAATTGCAGTCAGTAAGTAATAGGACAAATTAACACGTAGTGCTAATAACCATGGATGAGCTAGAAATCGTAGATGATGTGCTACAACAGCTAGCGATAAACACGTGTAATGGCTCCAATTAGGTAATTCAGCAGTTAATAATCGCAACGTTTGTGAGTCGTCTTGTAAATAGCAGTGATTCAGTAAATTCAAACTTTCTCTTTTGAATTCTCTGAAAATTTAATAAATTTCCCACTTAGTTCATTTCAAATTTTAATTTAATATTATTTATTTGATTAAAATTACAAACAAAAAGAAATAAATTAAAAACTATTAATTTTATTAATTAGCAAAGATAGTATGTTTAGCATAGGTTAAATTATAACAGCCAGTGATATTTGCAAATAGAAACCAAACTTTAAAGTCAAATAATGAATTAATTGTCACACGTATTTGAATATTATCTAATAACATCTTTGCTTTTTTGTTTCTTATTAAGTAACTGCATTATTCAAAAACTTTTTTCACTTCAAAGAAATATGAAAGTATTATTTTACAAAGATCATAAAATTATTAAAAAAAGAAAAGTACTCTGCAAATTCCCGAAGTTCATTAGATGCTTCAACTTCAATGTATTCATCTGCAGCTTCTTTGCTCATACTTTTGTAAAGCCTTATAGCAGCCAAGGCTTTGGCCATAGGTTCTTCACCGTACATCCACATGCATCTGGCCATATCCTGACGACGTGACAGAATCGCCCATAGCATTAAATCATTAAAAGGATATTGAAAATCTTCACCTATAAATTATTTTTACATTAATTATTGATTATTTACAAATTATTCAATAAAATACATGATAAATAATATATTTTATCTTGATTAATAAGTAAAATTTCATTGCAAATTATTATTAATTAATTTTTCACAGCAAAATTATTTGGTTTTTTTGCGAACAGAAATTAAACCTTCTCTAAGTTCTTTATTAGCTCGTTGTTTCCTTGAGTGATTTCTTTTTTGCTGAAACAAATAACAACAATGCTAATGCAATGTAGTATACTTTGCTAATTTATATCTTTCAATTCAGTTTTTTGATAGTTAAATTATACAGTCTTGTATATATATGTTAAAAAGATTGTTCTCTAATTTATTTAAATTAAATTTTAATTATTTTATAATAATTAAAAATGCTTTAAAAACAATGAAAAGAATGTCAATTTATTTTTTGAAGCCGAAAAAATTCAACCATATTAAAATAAACTAATTTTTATGCATAATTTTTGATTAAAATATTAAAATATTAGTTGCTAAATATAAGTAATAATAAAAAAAATAAAATACTTAAAAAAATCTTTTGCTACAAAAACATTTATTTGCTCAAATTACTATACTATTTTTTTCAATTTCCAAATTATGATAATTTCTCTTTCAAGTTTTTAATTTATAATTATGTTTTGGATTATTTTTTTGCAAAATTTTTTACTTACATAAAAATAAACAAAATAATCAAAGCAATACTTCAGTAATTTGTCGTGTTTTCGAATTCGCTCCGCAAAAACTGCGAAAACTTGATATTCGAGAAATCTACAAAAATGTATCCAAATATTTAAAAACTATTTAAATACTACATTTATTCAAAGATGTTGGGAAAAATAATAATAATAATAATAATAATAATAATAAAATAGTAATAAAAACTAAGATGGAATATATTTTTGCATAAAATTTACCGTTAAACTTTTAACTTTGACTAACCAATGCATTTTTTTTGCATTTTTCGTATTTGTTCTTAAACCTCCTAGTCGTATAAGAGCATTTATAAGCATTTCCCATTAATCGTTCAATAGCAACTCCAATTTTGGGAAGTGTAATTCGACGATCAGAGAGTGAAGTAACGCTGTTGATTAAAGGTAGTATAGATTCGTGTTCCTGAACAAAATTGTTAAGCATTTCGAAGTACAATAATAAATAATAGTTCTTATTCAGATTATAAATATAAATTGAAGAATTAATTAACTAATTGATAATTAATAATTAATTGCTTTTTAATGAGATTAAAAAGAACATCTTTGCTAAAAATAAAACGAAGTTACCATATTGTAAAGTTGTTCTAATCTATTTATTGTGAGAAATTTTTTCATAGAAACTCCATTTTCGAGCAAAAGTTTTACAAAATCAACACGATTGAGCGCCAAAGCTTCCATCATTGCATTGTATAATAAGTGTGGATGCCAGTTTTGACCTGGCACAAAAATATCCGATCGTGCGATATCCACCCGATTCCATATAAGAGTCAAAGCAAGCTTCATTTTCAAGCATTTTTTTAAAGTTTTATCAAGTTTCATTTTAATTAATAATCATGATTTCATTGCAATTTCAGTAAATACAATCACTCAAATTTGTCATTTTTTAAACCGAATTATGATTTTCTATCACACAAACTGATAATACGATGATTTTTATCTTAATCTTGACGTCTAATCTTTATGCTCTATCATAAATCTACTTACTTGATCAGCTGATGATAAGTTTTGCCCTTTTAATATTACACTCAGAATAGCGTGATCAACATCTTGCTGATTGCTTTCACCCAAACGAAATATTGTCAACTATAATAAGCGCAATGTTTAAAAGTGATATAAGCATAGCAATTTTATTCTTAAAGTTTAAAATTAATACTGTTAATGTACAAAAATGTACAAAAAATCTTGCGAAAAATTTAAAAAACATAGAAGAAAATTTTTATACAAAAAAAAATGAGTTCTGAAACCAATTATGAGGAGGGCTTAAAGTATACCAAATCACGATGTTTTGCACAGCACAATATTTCTTCAAGAATCTGCTCTGCGGATGTTGCGCTGTATTGAAAAGTTGAGCCAATAAGCGTGAGAAGTTCAGCGTGAGTGCTTTTTGGTAAAGTGCTAAAAAATTTTAGCTTCACTTTTTATCAGTCATGAAAATATTGAGTGACACATTTTGACGCATGATATTAATAATATTTATAATATTATTACTATTAAGAATAAATAACGTATTATTATTATTATTATTATTATTATTATTATTATTATTATTATTATTATTTATTATTATTATTATTATTATTATTATTATTATTATTATTATCATTATCATTATTATTATTATTATTAACAATAAATATAACAAATTAGTAGTTTAGATAAAAAATCGCAAAAATTACTTTTAAGAAAGAAAACTTTAGTTCCTCTTGAATTTGTCATAATCGAAATCGTAAAATGAGTTCTGCTTTAAAGTCCAAAAATTCGTTTGATTACAAAAAATTTACTAATTTTTGTGAGCAAAATTTTTTTAAGTTTTTTGAAATGATGAAAAATTAGTTAAGAATTAGACTTGTTCATTAATTACTTTTTACCGAATTCTTATTTATTATAAGTAATCTCAAATTTTAAGTCCATAAAAAGTTAAAGTTAAATTTTCATAGAATTTCAAAGCAACATATTTGCAAAAATACATACTTTTATAATAAATGCAAATTAAAAGTGAGCATATTTGCTTTTAAATTAGTCACATAAAGAAATAGATGACTAAAGTATAAACTTAACCCGTCTTCTAGAATATGTTTATGAGCGAAAGCAATCAAATTTGACGCACGACCACTTCCATCGCAAACAATAACTGGAACAGGTGGTTGGCTGAAAGATTTGAAAAATTATGTAACCTTTGAACTCCTTTTTAGCAAAAATTTGCAGTTAATTTAGTAATGTACCCACTTGGCTAAGTAATGGAGAATTGCTCTTATTGTACATATGCCTCCTTCTAGTACTGCGCAAACAACTGGCACATGCCGTGTTCCTAAGCCAATTGTTTGTTTTCGAGCAATAAATTCTTCGAAACGTTTGCGTAAAATAATATCAGCTCCATATCTGTGCAGTAAATCCTTCAGCATTTCAAATCGTAGCTAATTTTTTACATATCACGTGTAAAAACGTAACTTCAATAGTATAAAAAGTGATGAGGATAATAAACTGATTCTGTTTAAAATGGAAAAAATCAAAAATTTGCATTTTATCCTACCTGCCATAAGTGCCATTGTCGACTAGTAAGAAATATGAATGTCTATCATTTAATGTTACGTATTTACTTTTTGAGGAAAATGAGTATGGATCGTATGAGACAACAATATCTTTTCCAATTAACCTTTCACGACCTCTAAGTAAGCCCCACGGAGCAATTCCGATCGTAATCACTTTTGATCGCATTCTAAAATTTGACGTACAAATATCGTCAATTTTGAAATTCTTTTAAAATAACAACTTCACTCTATTTATTGTATTATTAAAGTAATTACTGTAGCTTTGATCAATTTTCTAATATTTAGCACTGTACACTTATACGTTATTTGTTGATATGAAAAAGTGATCATAAATTGAAAACAACATATCTTGCTGATATTCCTGCTTCATCAAGAGCTCTAGCAATATGTCTTACAACTCCAGCATCAATTCCACCAGTAATAATCCAAGCACCAGTTGTTTGGGCTGCTTTCAGTAAACTTGCCCGAAAAACTTGTCCAACTTTTTCTTGAACTCTGTAAGATTAATTCTATTAATAGGTTTGTAGTATCATATAATTATTCGAGATCATATTAATTTTTAAAAATTGAATTATTTCAACAATGAAAAAATAATATTACTCAAAATTAGTAAGGCCACCGTGAACGGTGATGACAAGACGTGGCGGCTCTAATCCCCAAACTTTTTCCATCAAATACATTATATCAGATGGATCTGAATCATGTCCTAATCTAACATAATGTGCCCGATGAGCATGTGCCCCACCCTAAAGTACATCAAATTTAAACAGCAAAAATAGTTAAATCAACTTTGTACCGAAATAACTAACATTTTTAATTTAAAGTCTATTTAAGCACACATTTAATTAGCAATTAACTGATTTCAATAGAATTAGTTTCAAATTAAAAATAATAAGTCTAAGATTAAGTAAGTATTTTATATCATAGTTTAGCTAAAATATAAAAATAAACTTAAGGTTCTGAGACAAAAACAATTTTGTTTTTCTTTCATTTCACAAACCGAAAACTCTAAGGTTCCAAAAGCATCCGTATGAGATGCTTCGGTATGTTCCGCAGTATTCCACTGAGATAAATAACCTGACGCTAGAGATAATCGGGTACATGGGTCAGAAATGTGACCTGTAAATTGTGCCATAACTGCCGCATTGTGTCCACTTGGAGATAACCCACAGCCACATCTGAAATGACCAGAGTAATATTTGCAAACAATGTAAACTTCATGTGATGTTGGATAGATCCAAGCACATCACAATCGAATCAGAAATGCAAACAAATATTCTCAATAATTATTTTTAAAAATTGATAAATTTACTATCTTACGCTTTCCACATTTTTTATAAGAGAATTTTAATAGAATAAAATTTGCAGTAAAAATCTTTGAAAATTTATTCAGTTTTTACTTCTCATTTCCTCAGTGCATATAATTTACTTTTACAAAAAGATAAAAAATAAAAAAAAATCTTAATAAATAATTAATTTTTTATGCATTACAAAATATTATTTGCTTCTATTTTAGTCAATCTTATAGTTATGTATATATATATATATGTATCTGAACTCATTGAGAACTGTTTTGTAGTTAAGTAAAACATTTTCAGCCACTTAATTATGAATTCTCTAAATCAAAATAAGATCTTTTTTATGAATAATTAGATCACAATTATGCATTTTAGTCTTATTACAACTTTTTTGAATCAAAACAATTCAGTAAAGTAATGAAAAATATTACAAAATATTGTGTTTATTATATGAATGATAAGATTAACCTATCAACTCCAAAAGTTGGAATGTATTTCACACATTCTCGTTTCGAAAAGACTTGCTCAATCCAAGGTTCCTTCAATTTCTCATTCTGAAACTATTTATTATATATTATCTATTGTAAAGAAATTAATTTTGATTACAAAATATGCTCAAAATTAACTTTTTCAAATAAAAAAGTTAACAAATTATACGAATGAGAGAGCAGAAAATTAGTCCAAAATTGCTAAACTTAATTTTCTAAATTTATTGCTATCAAAATTTGCATAAATTATTAATTTTGTAAATTTGTTTGTCATTAATTATTTACGTTAAATCTTAACAAATTTCAATAATTTTTTTCGATGCAAACTTTATTCTAAAGTAATGTCATTTATTTTTACTTGCTTGCTTACTGAGTTGTACCAAACTTATTCATTTACTCACATGTATATTTGTAAATATTTTTTGTTAACTCACGCATTATGCAATGTTTAATAAATATAAAATATGTAAACAATCAAATTGGCTGAGCAGAAGCTAACCAATGCTTGCACGAACACTTCTGGACGATCGAGCAATTTTGAAGAGCCTTTTCGTATTTCATTTTCAAATTGAAAATATTTGCATGGCATATTTGTAAGTGATTTAAATTGCTGACTGCAGACAGAATTCCTCGGAGCTGTACAAGAAAGCGAATACACAGAACTGGCTCTGTACATAACCATTTTATCAGAATTTTATCCATACAAGTAAAAATTATTTGAATTGAATGATTGCTGAGTATTTTAAGTATTTGATTATTCAATAGAAATAAATAATATTATCACCTAAAGTATTAATCAATAAGTTAATTAATTAATTGTAATAATAATAATAATAATATCAATAAAAATTAATAACAGTAATACCGTTGCCTTTCGTTGCAAGTAATGTCATCGAATAAATTTTCAGATCGCCGCATGGAATCAACGAATGGATTTGAAACAATTCTCGCATTTGCCGTCAAAAACGTTAACTCCTTATTTTTTTCTCCGATTATTTTACCAGAAATTTGCGTAAATAAAAATTTTTTGAAATAAAACAAAAATTAATTGTAAAATTCAACAAAAATATTTCAAAGCTAAAGAATAATACAAATATTTTGTGAATTTTTACTCTTCTGCAAAGAACGAATGAGTGGAACATTCTTGCCATTTAAATAAGAATTGTCTGATTAATAGTCAAAATGCCATTTGCTTTCTTTATTTTCTTCTTTTTCATTATCATTATTATCAAGTTTTGCAATTGCTATTGATATCGTTATCATTATCACCAACAGCACTTCAAATAATTTTTCATTTATTGTGCCATTTTGAAATAAGCACACAGTGATAAAACTTGCTTTCTGTAATTGTACTAATCAGTTTATAGTTTTGATTTTTATTATTGCTATTATTATTATTATTATTATTATTTCATTTGATAATTTTCATTATAATTACTGAGTTATCCCTTTATTATTGGTTTGTATTTCGAGATTATTTATTATTATTATTCATATTATTATTCATATTGATATTATCATTATTATTATTATTATCGTTATTATATGGTGGAAAAGCAATATTATTTATTCAGTGTTTTTCATATTTTTCTATTATTTCTTTATTAGAATAAATTGATGCAAAAAAAAATCCCAAAAAGAAAATTTTTATTGTTGCATTTTCAATTTATTATTATTACTTTTTCATAGTGGCATTTTTAGGAATAATTTAGATTCTATCTTAAGTAGACCAATTCTGATTCTAATCTAATCTTTGCAGATTTTTAATTAAATTTTTACACTTTTAATACATTCTTTTGTAAAAAGAAAAATTATTATTAATTATTAATACTTTTTTTGACTTTTTCTACTGCAATTTTCTTCACTTTCACTTTTCAAACATACAAAGCAAAATAGCAAAATTGTAATTTCTTGCAAATTAAAAAAAGAATAAAGTATAAAAAATAAAGCATATTTTAATGCCAGCAATAAATGATATATTTACTTAAGTATTAATTAAGTATAAGTATAATTTTTATTATTTTATGCAAAAATGTCTTCTGTAATTTATAAATCTTTTTTCTTTAGTATAAAATGCAAAGCTTTGATTGAATCTTTGACAAGATGATAAGTTTATCAATGAAAGACAATAATTTTAGAAATTAAAAAGCAATTAAGAAAAGGAAGTAATTCACAGAGATGCCAACAAAAGTGGAAAGAAAACACACAAAACTTTGTAAATAATGAAGTACCAAGTAATACTAAGTTTGCTTCTTTTCATAATGCTTGCATTTATTGCACAAACATGACAAAAATTGAAGTGAGACTAGCAGATGTAGAAAAGCTTCAGGCTTACTGCTACTAAAATTATTCTAGCGTTTATATTCTTAGATAAATAAGTAAGAAAAATATTCAATAATATTTTTGAGTAAATATTTTATTGTAGTGATAGTACTCTATAAGTAAGTACTCTAAGCTCACTTATGAAGCAAAGAGAGTGATAACAAATACTTTATGAAGATGGTGAATAAATAACAGCTAAGTAAATGATAAGATTAAGCTAATGCTTGAGAGATTATACTCTTTTTTCATCAAATAAAAACAAATTTACTTTAATTTATTTCAATTTATAATAATTTTGATAAAAAATATAGCAGCTATAAGGTGAAAACGCTCAAAAATTGATAATAATAAATTATTACAAAGTATTTTGTTATTACAATAAAGTTGTTTCCAATATGAAACTGCATTCATTAAGAAGAAGCAATTTACTAAAAAGTATATTATCCAGTTTTCAGTCTTACTGTACGATTTGTCAAGACTTTTCATTTTAATTACAATTAATCATAAATTGTATAATACTTTCTTTGCAAATGCCATTTTTGCTGTATTGAGAAAATAAAAATAAGCGATTTGATTCAAAATAATTTTATCATATCATTTATTTTTATTTTCGAGAACAAAAATGCAACTTCAATGCTTCAAAAACTGCTCATCCAGTGTTATTTTTAAACTGAAAGCAACAAAATCACTGCTAGTTCAGTTTAAAAATACTTTTTATTTACTGAAAGAACTTATCCCTTTCTAGATTAGACTAGGAACGTTTTCTAGATTAATTTTCACAATGATATAATTGAATTCACACAATGTCGATTGCTCTATGATACCATTCATAATCAGTATTGCATTAAGTAATAAAAAATAAACTTAATCATTTTTATTAATATTAGCATTTATTCACTATTATCTTAGTCACTAGTGTAATAAACATTATTACTATTGTTATTATTATTATTTTTAGTTCTAGTAGTGGTATTAGTGTTAGTATTGGTGTTAGCATTAATAACAATAGTAATATAATTAATTACAGTAATTAATTAAATGTTTCACAAATTAAAACTGGCAAAAAAGGTGTGTAGCAACAACACTTTACTGATTCCTTTGATTAATTTTAACTTTTAGTAAACTAAAATTTCGTTTATTAAACTTTTCTAAAACCTGTTTTATTTTGCTTTATTTTACTTTGTTTTTTTCTAACGTCAATTGATCATTTTTTGACATTATTATTAAATTTTGACATAATTACTGACATCAAATGTTTCACAAATTTTGACATAATTATTCATTTATTAAATTAATTAATTGACATAACTATTAATTTATTAAATTAATTAATTGATTAATTATTGATAAATTTTATACTGCCAAATGATCAAAACCAACTCAAAAAACAAAAAAATAGAGTTGATTTTGAAACGATAAATAAACTTTAATTGTCGAAAAAAAGTAGTGAAATAATAAATAAATAATACTATCAAACAATTATTATCAGTAAAATATGTAATGGCAGTTGCTCCTTTTTTGCTTATTTTTGTATATAAAAAATTGAATTTTGTGCAATGACAAATTTGTAGTGAAAGCATTTATATTGTTATCTATTCTATTCTAACATTAATAATAGTCTTAACGCTGTTCTAATTTCAAATATTATATTATTTTCAAACGAATAACAGTAAAAATTAAAATGATGTTCTTAAACAGTAATTAAATTACCAATAATATATCTATTTTACATAACCATATGTATAAGTAAGATGCAAAGTAATGCTATTGTACTGATACTTTGTTTTCCAACTATAACAGAATGGCGTAAATAAATTGTAAATTTTACAGTATCAAAATTAATAGTATATTAATCTATCACAAACAAAAGTTCAGTTTCAGTAAGCAGCAGATATCATTATTGAATAATTTAAGGTCAAATTCACTTTTAGTAAATTTAGGTCAACTCTAATGAGAGGCTCTAAGTTAATCATTAAAAATATTATCACTTTACTTGGACGTCAGCAAAAACTAATATTTTAAACGATGTTGAATGCAACTTTTTTCAAGCTTCCATCCGAGAACTTATCAATACTTTCATATCATTCACTTTAACAAGCACTTTATTTCCAGTCTTATCTATACAGAAGAATACAAAAATACAATACTAATTTTTTATTAATTTACTAATGTGATAAAACGATGCAAAATTGATCACCAATTGATAGTTCAATTTGAATTTTTTAACTTTTTTACTTAAATTAAATTATTACTGTAACTCAGTAAAGCATTGATTAAGGATTTTATTTGCATTTTCATGCTTTTAAAAAAGCAATTTCTAAAAAAAAGACTGTTTTAAACTTCAGTCATGAGCTCGTTCACTCGTTCTATACATACTAATCATATCAACAATATATGTACGAAAAACAATACTAATCAGATTTATTCAACTACTAATTGCAAGCATTAATATTTATTACATTATTTATACATACTTTACTTTTATCAATTTGATTCAAATTAAAGTTTTATATGCTGAGTTCATATGCAACAGTAATCATTACTTTCACCAAGATGGACTCATTAAAAAAATCTCATCAGAAGTAAAACGATCACGTAAGCTTTAATAAAAAGTCAATTAACTAAAATTTAGTGAGGTATGTAAATTCGTTAGACGAATTACTATTACATGCTTTCACGAAGGATTCATTATTTTATTGTAGGCTTTTTCAGTTACATAAAATTCAGTGAAGACGTGCATTTATTTATATGCATTTGTTAGAATTTGTTGAAGTTTGAATCCACCTACCTCAGAATTTAATTTACATTAAGGAAGCCCAATTCTTGAAAATCTACTATAAATGAAGCATTAAGCTTTCATCCATGAGCTTGATAACCATAAAAAGATCTCTAAAAGCCGGTGTTCCCAGTACCAGAACAATGAGTAAGCTGATAAAGAATCCTTTTATTGTGCTATGGAAATTTCTTTACTTTCAAAACTATTCGTACCGTTTCGTACTGACAACTACTGATCAAGCCTATAAAGCTTTATCTGATGTACATGCATATAAGCTTCTGGCAATGTGTGTATAGGGATTGTTATTGGTTTCCAAAAATTCTAAAGTGGGTGAATGTGCAGAACAAAGAATATATTGAAGTGTTTTTATGCATTTACTTTACAAAAAATACAAGTTTCTAACGCTATTTTTGAAGCATATTTACAAATTTTTGAAAAGGTGGCAAAAGCTTCAGCTCTTACTTCATTTAACACAAACACACGCAAAAAATGTATGATAAAGCTGAATGATTTTTAAATAGACTATTTCTACAAAAAAAATGCATTTTTTTACAAAAAAACTAGCATATCATCATTCTGAATCAACTTTTGGAAAAAATTTCACTGCTGATATGACTAAAAATGTTAAACAATTTGTTTTGCCATGAATTTAGCAACTTTGCGAAATGAATCATAAAATTCTTCAAGAATAAAATAAAGTTTGATAAAACATACTACGATAAAGTGAATAAATACAGATTACTAAACAGAACAGATCAACATAATGGAAAAAATATCGGGAAAATGAAATGAAAATTCAGACTGAGATCTGCAAGTTGCTAAATTCAATTCAAAATTTTCAGATGCTAAACAGTTTCCGTTAAGCAATTCAGAGCTCTTTAAATAAATCTGTTCTTTCTTGACGATAACATTGAGCTGATAAAGTTTAAAACGAATTATCCTAATTGCTCAAAAAATCACAAAATAATAGACATCTTAATTATCTGACCAAAACAGATTTTCTTTAAAATCCAGATTCAACCTTACACAAATGAGAGTGAAAGGATGCAAGAGTGATACAAAATAAAGCAAAAGATCAGTGACTGCATTGTAATATTTAATACTGAGCACACATAAACAAGAGGAATTAATTTTTCAAATAAGACAGGGCATCACAATTGTAAGAAATCATTTCGAATTCCAGTCGAATTAACAATTTTAAATAATCATTACAGTAGTTTTTTGAAACAAATGGATATTTCTGATGGATGATGAAAAAAGAAGAATGATATAGAATATCATACAAATAAACTAAAAACTTCTGACAACTTTGCGCTGTTTCCTTTGCTTTATCGACCTTTTCCAACGCAATAAAAAAAATCACATAAAGAGCGAACTTAGCAGCAGGATAATTTGCCTAAAGTTACATTACTTTGTTGCTCTGCAGGCCGTATTGTTGGCTGCTTCATTCCTTCATCTTTTACTGGCATCTGCAAAACTGTGCAAATTAAACTAATACACAGATCAATCAATTTGACAAATGTGGAAACAAAAGATGCCTAATTACATGCATTTAAAACCAGTGCGTTTTATCGAGCGAAGATTTTCGTAAGCAACAAATTACATCTTAAAAAAGAATAAGAATCTTTGATAAGAATGAATTTCTTATTATAGGTCGTCATGAAGAAATAATAAACTCCAGCTATAAAAATTAAGCAAAATAAAATGTACAAATAAAACTAATTGTTGTTACCTTATCGAGAATAGCTTCAGCGAGATCATAAAATGCCTTATCAATTTGTATATTAGCTTTAGCGGACGTTTCTAGAAACCTAATACCATGATCACTGGCTATTTTTTCTCCACGTTCACGCGAAACTACCCGCCGTTCTGCCATATCACACTTATTACCCAGTAACATCTTTTCAACATCTTCCGAAGCATGCTTAAAATGCTGCATTAAGACTTGAAAAAATAAAAGTACCAAACTCTTAGAACAAAGTACAATGCAAAAGTATTCGATTTATTTCTATATTTCAATTCATTATGTAAGTTTCACAAATATGGTGCTTTTTTCAATTTGCGAACTCTTAAAGAGGAGTTTAGTTTTCAAGCAACAATTCATACCAATACTTTATGATTTTATAGATTTTTCCAAAGTTGAATGCAATGCTTTAGTCGTTTCCGAAGTTCACAACAATATTTATGAAACTGTGACTAAATCAGGTAATGACAAACTTTTAAAGAGCACAAACCTACCTCGTCAATATTTCTTAACCACTTTGCAATATTATCAAAGCTTTTCGCGTTTGTTATATCATAAACTAACATGATACCCATAGCGCCTCGATAATAAGATGTGGTAATAGTGTGAAATCTTTCCTGTCCAGCTGTATCCCTGCAAGAAAAAATATCTATTTCTATTGTTTTTCCCATATTTTACGTAGGCAGGACTGAAAAAAATGGTTCAACTTAGCAGTTATTTTTTATTAGTCATGTAATTTTGACTTGACAGTAATGACCATATCTAGTCTCGAGAGCACGCTATTTTGATTTCACATCATGAAATACTAAGATCCTAAGATGAATGGCGTGATCTGGGTCACTAAATTATATCGATTTGTGGATTTTTCTATGAGAGAAATGCAAAACGATGAAGGCTTTCCAACATAAAGTGAAACATGGAAATGATTAATTAAAACAGATTAAAAATTCATAATTTATAAAAACTGAAATCATTAATTGTATTATTAGCAAAAAAACAAAAACGTACCAAATTTGTAATTTAATTTTTTTCCCTTTCAATTCTATTGTCTTTATTTTAAAATCGATACCTGAAAAATTACATATCACATATAAGCAAACAGCAAATGATCAAATATTAAAACTTTCTTCTAAAAAGATATGGCATTCAGATTACAAATTGCTTATAAATAAGCTCATGGATACTTCATGCTTCCAAAAGCATAGTAAATATGTAAATATGTTAGTAAATATGTAAATATGTTTATCATAATCAAATGATAATAATGAAGTGAAACTATTGTAATTATCGTTTAAAAAAATGTGGCAAATTTTGAGCTAAAATTCAGATATACACAAATATTTCTTCTGCAAAATAAATGACAATATAACTTTTGCAATACTTATTTCTCTAACTAAAATCCCTGAAAGCAATGTGACCAATCAACAACTAGTTACTAAGCATTGAAACAAACCTATAGTAGAAATGAAGGTTGTGTTGAAAGCATCATCACTGAATCTATACAAAATACACGTCTTGCCAACACCGCTGTCTCCGATAAGCAATAACTTGAATAATAAATCATACTGCTTTTTTGCCATTATTACTTCCTAAAAATGACTAACAAAAAATAACAAAAATATGCAAATGCAACAAAATTCCCGATATCTACAACAATAATAATGATTTAAAATGATAATAAATTCTGTTCTAAAATGTCAGCATAAAGCAATAACAGCATATCGTAGTAATACATCGAGACGTTGTGAAAACAGTAATCTTAAACTTCTCATTCATGCATTACTCTAAAGTGACTTCAACTTATACAAAAATTTAAAAAAAAACTAAAATGGTCAAAGCAAACAAATTAATTGCCTTTAAGAACTTTAACCTTACAGAACTTTACAGTACGTGTTTCAAAATTTCATCCACAAAATATATTTTGCTTTTTTATTGCTTGAAAAAAAATTAATGATAACTACTACTTTGTACTATTCACATTTCGATGAGCATAACGATAATGCAAGATACTACAAAATTTGAGCCTTCAAAAAACAACTGTAAACATAATTTTAAAAAAGTGTACAAATCAGTAATAATAAAATGATACAATTGCGAAGAAAATGAAAAAGAAATAATAATAATTTTAGTAATAAGTCTACGTAACGATAAAAAACAACGCATAAAATAATTTATATTACTACATTTTGCAAGAATAACAACGCATAAAAAGTAAACCAATCAATAACGATGTAATAAATGAAAAAATGCCACGAGCAATATATTTTATAGAGAATAGAAATAATTACTAATCATCACTGTTAAAAGCACCGTATAAATGCAGTAAGTATATACCAACTTTAAGATATCGATTTGACGTAATGAGAATGAATGTATAACGTAAATCAATACTGCTACTCCGCACACATATTCACGTATTGTAATACATTCAATATTACTATTACTACTAGTTCGTAATACTATCTATCACAATTTAATATTCAATTTTAAGTAT